AACCAAAAAACCCCACAACCAAAGAAAAAGAGCTGGTTTCTAGATCCAAGCTTTCTGCAGGCTTTAACAGGTTCCCTATCCCTGAAAACCCATCCTCACTCACCTCAAATCCTTGTCTCTTCAAGTAAGTGCCATTTCATAATCCTATTAAAACCTTTGCCTCTGTTTACCAGGAGCTCTAATCGTACTCAGCAAGTTCTCCTGGTCTAAGGAAGAGTGACAGCTTTCAGATTTCTTAGGAGGCTTATTCATCAACCACGCCAGAGTTTTGCCAGAGTGTTCAATCTATTCTGGGAGCAGCCATGTGGAAAAAGCTTCAAACAGCTCAAAGCCCTGCACAATGATAAAGGAAAGCTCACACAATCCTGGTAATAGCCTGACCCTCTTAAGGAAAATTGGATGATTTGTGGTAGCAGTTTTTCTGTCCCCTATGTGAATTCTGAACCTTAAAGTATAAGCAGTGTATTCACACAGTCCCATTACAAACCCCATCCCTCTTGCAATGCTGGAATAACAAATACACACCCATGTGTGACAATAAACTCTTACTGCAGTGACCTTCCTCCTCAGTCCAATGGTGTGAAGGAGTTTGTAGCCATTTTAGAAAAAGAGAAGAGCCAGATAAAGAATGGACTAATTTGATGTTCAATGTTTCACCACGAGCAGAATATATGCTTTAATGAGCACATTACATGCACCAGGGACATGTTACTGGGAAGCAGGGGATAAAGAGTAAAAGGAAAATAATTAAACAGTCAGCTTTATAATGAGGAAACTCTGCTCATGCAACATTAACCGGCCTAATTTTCAAATGCTAAGCAAAGACATTTTCCTTGGGCTTCAGGAGGACTTGCTGGCAAGCACCACCTTGAAATCAAGGGTAAGAGATCACAGGTATCAAACCTCCTTTAGGTTCAGGCCACAGGGATTGATATTCCAAAGTCATCTGTCCACACTTCACACTGACCTGTCCAACAGGATTGAATACCTGCACCCTGTATTACTCTAAAAGGAGGATCCTTAGAGTGGTGAAACATCCTAGATTCATAATGTGTGTATGATGAACATTACAACTGACTTCTGCCAGCCTGGCCTTAGTTTTCTGTGGGTATTACATCTGTCAGACCACAAATGTACAACCTCAGCTAAGGGCAATGAGCACATGGAGACTTAGAGTGGCTGTTTGCACCAGGAAAGGTACTGGGAAAAGGGAAAACCTTCCTCACTGGGTTCATGCCAGAGCTCACCCCTAGGTCAGGGGTGGCTCTGTGTGGTGGAAAAGTCTCTCCAACCCGAGCTTCCAAAGAAAGGCTCAGTATTCTTCTGTTGTCTGGTCTCAAGGCAGTTTATTGCAAGTTATCTAAAAGATTTTCTTCTGGGGCTGCTGTGGTTTGCTCACAGCTCAGGCAGAGGCACACACACACCCTGACATCCTCTCTGACCCCGACTGCTTCTTCTCTCCCTGCCCAGGGCTGCTGCTGTCTTTTATATGGTACATTACATGTTACATGTTTAAGTTTTTCCCCAATGCCTATTGCCTATATTAAATGGTGATTTTCTATCTTTTATATGGTACATTACGTGTTACATGTTTACAGTTTTTCCCCAATGCCTATTACCTATATTAAATGGTGCCTTTCTACTCTAAACCAATCTGTGAGTGCCAACATCACCAAGAACATGGAGGTAAGGAAGGAGAAAGAGGGAGAACAGGGCAGGCCCAAATCCCAAATCCATCTTAAAACCTCTGACCCCCATGTACAAAACCAAAACCCCCCTGTACAGCACTAAAAAATTCTTCCCTTTACTTTGCGACTACTTCTACTCTAATATCTAAACTTTTGTGACTTCTTGTTCTTCCTGCAAGGTTGGTAACTCATTCCATGGTTCAAATCCAAAATCACAGCTGCTTCCAGCTGCCTGCCAGAGTCTCAAATGCTTTCTGACCTGAGCCTGGAACATCCAAAAATGTCTGAGGGACATTTTGAGTTCCGACAGGTTCAGACACTGACAGGGTGAGCCAATAAAGCATATTCCAATAAAGCATATTCAGTTCTCTCAAGGCCCACAAGGCCATGAACATTAATTTGCTGGCACTGTCACTTCCAGAGTGTTGCATCATCCATTACTCCAGCATAACAGCCCATCAGGCAGACAGCAGCTCTGCTGGCCCACAAGCTCCCCAGCACTCTTTGCACATGCACAAAGTCTCTTGGTTACTCACTCTCATGCCTAATTCGATGTTTTCTCCTCCATAGACCTCCATGCCAGGGTCAAGCAGGCCAATCTCGCCAAAATACTCTCGGTCCACCACAAAAGAGCATCCAATCATGGCTGGTGTCCTGCACAGAGAGATCAAAACAAAAAAATTAAGCCATTGATTAGCTCTTACAGATCCCACCTCATAACAAATTTACACAGATTAAACAGTTCTTAGCATTCAAATTTACATTCTAAATTTACCAATTACCATCAATCACATGGCACTTCAGGTATGCAAGAAATTCCAGTACTTCTCTATTTGCTGCTGTAATTTCTGAAGACTTTCTGTTGAATCACAAACAAAACAAAAACCACACAGGTTTTTGTAGAGCTTTGGGACCACTTCTAACTAGAGAATGATTAAACAGAAATTGATTCATTTGAGACCACTTCTAACCTGGATACTCCTGCCTGGGCACTTACATCCTCTGCTGATGCATATATTTATACACCAGGATCTCTGCATCTATAAATTCAAGTTATTTGATAAAATGCATCTTCCTGATTTTATTTCCCAGAGCCAAGCCTGGAAACAGATTTGCCTAAAAAAGCTGAGAGCTCTCCTGTACACAGGATGAGACATATCCTATATACATCTTGATTTCACATTTTGTACCACTGAAAAGCATATCTTAGGCTAACAAGGAATAAATTTGATATTGGAACTAAAATGAAAGAAAGATACAACCAAGGTAAGGAAATTCAGAACCTTTGCAATGAAATAAGCCTTGGAGGGGATATTTCAGGTATCTTTTTTTAAGTTTTACCCACGATAAAAGAGAGAAGGAGATTGGGGGGAGAAACACACACCACTTTCTTCATTTTTCTTTCCATGCATTCAAAGCTAAACATGGGCTTCACTGGATCAAGGCATCACTGCTCTGCAAAACTGAGATGCTAGTTTGGGCTTAGACTCGTTCTTTTTCCAGCCCCATCTCCCCCACAGAAATCCTCTGGAGGCAGCTCCTTACAGCAGCAGGATGTTCCCATGAAGATATCTCCTCCCTTTCTAATGAGGAATGGTACTGTCAGGCTTTGCAGACTGCTCTCAGGTGCTGGAATCTTTCTCTCTCTGGGGATGAATTGCTGCAGCTGTAGGCTCTGTCCATTAAACCCCTGAGTTGTTAATTGAATGGGGGTGGGAAATACATTTCAGATGCAACTACATAATCATCACTCACAAACAAATGCCACTGAGTCTTTGCAACTCCCTCTCTCCCTTCCAGGGTTTATTTCTTCTCATTATATATATTCAAATATAGACTTCACAAGCTTTCACAATTTTTTTGGGGAAAAAAAAATGTTTTCAGGAGTGAAAAACAATACCAGAACAATGACAGAAGGAACAATATCCAGCTTTTATAATTTTATACTGGACTACAGTGTCACACTGACATATCACAAAGACTTTTCAAAAATGTGCTTGAATTAAGCTCAAGGCCCTCACTTGGCATTAGAACTGGGTTTTTCCTGTACCTGAAATACTCCAGTACATCCACCACTTTTAGTGCAGAGCAGCAGTTTTATTTTGGAAGCTAGAGATGGCCACATGAGCAGAAGCAGCTGTGTTAGCACCTCTTACCCACTGCTCACTGCCCAAGGGGCAGCACATGAGAAGGTGAATGCCCCCAGCACTTCACAGCTTCAGAGCACAAGATATTAACCTGCTTTATATATAACAACCTTTTCCCTCAATCATGCACTCTCTAGTAAAACAGAGCCACTTCTAGAAGGAGAAAGCAGCAATTAGAAGTATACTATTTTTTATCAGCACCTCAAAGGTGTTGTGAAACTTAATTCATCTGTGGAATATTCTTTGACACAATGGAGGATGTTATAAGGATTAATTACAATCAACAGCAGCACTCAAAGGATAATGTGGGAAACACAGCAAAATGGGTTTTGCAGTTAAAAGCTTAAAATGCAGCCTAGAATTGCATTGATTTTGTACTGGAGAAAGATACAGCATGGTCAGTTTGGGGGAATGATCTGACAGCACTGCTGTAGCAAGGGAGACATGGGAGAAACATTTCTCTGGGTAATACCCTGGGAAAGGGAAAGCACAGAGAGGTTTCTGGGGGTGAACTCTCCCTCCCTCCAGCAGCAGCAGGAAGAGAGGCCCTGCATGGGATGGGCACAGGGAACAGAGGGCACGCTGCCCAGGGAAGAAAGGCATTGCTGCAGGACTGAGTCAGGGCTGGTTTGTGGCAGTGAGATCCCCAGGAGCACAGCTCTGCTGCTAAAATTCCAGCAGGTGCTGACACCCATTTCTCCAGCTAGGTGCATCCCTCTCCTTCCCCATACTGAAGGGAGATGCCTGAGGACTTCACCAAGAACCAGTGAAAGAGAAAAGGATGGCGACTAAACTGCACATGGTACAGTCAGTCTTCCTCTGCCTTATGCAACTTTCTCTCCTGCCTTAAGATCAGCATATATTTTTATATATTTATTTATATATATATATTTATTTATACATATGTGTACAATGCAATCAGGTCACATTTGAAACAGTTTCCTGAGCAGCCAACTGCAATTTCCAGGAAAACTGGCAAACACTCACAATGATCACATGAATTCAAACACAAATAGAACCATAAATAAATATATAAGCATGAATGTATATATACAAGTATAATGAGAGAGACAAAGAGTTTCAAATGACACATCACACATCATATCTGAGCGTTCCACCTCTCCAAGCAGGATGTTGCTTTGATTCAGGTTCTTTAACATCACCTCAGCCCTCGTCTGACATGTAGGTGGGGAAACCTGCATGGTACCTGCAGAAGCATTTCTATTTTTCTTACAGCTCAAGAAAGGGTCACACCAGGCCCTGAGAACAGAACTCAAGGACAGATTTGCTGCTTAGGAGATCTAGGGGAAAAAAGACAAGATGGCAAGCTAATGCTCATCTAGAAAGGCAGTGCAAATATGGATGCAGAATAACTCTCTGATGCCCTGTGGAAGTAAATTTTTTGGAATGGGCAGGACACCCATCAGATCCTGGACAAATAAAAGCAAAACAGCTTTGTTGCAGGCTCCTGTGAACCAGAAATTGAAAAGATGGCTATGGGCAGTCAATAAACAGTCACCAGTTTTATTATTACATGGCAGCATGGTTTATAATGGAAGATTTTACCTCCTGAGCTCAGGTACACAGGTGGATTTCTTCCCAGAGCAGTGAGAGCTCAGATTGGCTTCAATTGTTACTGCAGAGCAGCACAGGGCCTGACTTGCACGTGAGATGGGCACACACAGTCTCAGATAGAAGCAGCAGCACAAAACACTTCACTGGGGGCACATCAAACTCGAATTTATGTCCATGAGCGAGGAACAGGCGCTCTCTGGAGCAGCTGATGCAGTGCATGTACATACACATCCCCACTGGTGCCAAGCTATGGCATATTAAAGCAGTAAGTGAGAACATATGCAACAATGAAATGCACCACTGCTGCTGGAGGAAGATAAAATGGAAAGCTGTGCAGCTTGGCTGGGTGAGGCTGACTAATGACTCTAATATTAGTGGCTGCTGATCAAGAAATCAAATGCAGAGCAGTCCATCATAATCACAGCAGGTGAGGGAAGACAAGTCAGAGCCAGAGTTCAGAATACCAGAAACCTTCCTTGCTGTTCCAAAACCCAGGGAAAAAAAAAAATGCAGCATGCATTAAAAACCCAGCTTGTTTCAATGCATAGTCAAATTCATTAGAAGCCTCTGAAATAGATCCTTTGTTACTCAGTGTGTTGCCAGATGATAAGGACATTTTTGGGCAGCATGCTCGCAGGAACACGAATGGAAAATGACATGATGGACACAGCATGTCAAAATAACAATTCTCATTTAAATCTTCACGTTACAGACATCTTCCATCTCAAATGTCAAACATGTAAAATGGATTGCCTGCAGAAGCCAACTCAGGGAACATCAATTGTTCTGGAGTTCAGAGTATTAACGTGGAGGGGAAAAAAAGAACCAACTTTAAAGTGAATCAGAAATCTTTACAACATCTGATACCTTGTTCTTGCTATTTCTTCACCTTTGTTAGCACTTCAAGGCCACGTTCCCTTTTGTCACTTAGCTCACAACAGCTGATGTGACATTTTATGGTGCATACTTGACATGACTGCCCATGAATGACCCACTGGTGTGAGGGACAGTTCCTGCTCTTTCCCAGCAAGGCTGAGTAGAATCACACCACTGTCATTGTTCAAGAAATTGTTCAAAGGCAAAAATTCTTAGGAAAGAAGCACATCTGTTGTGTAGTCCCAGAAAAAAACAGGAATTGGACTGTGTTTTCCAAATGCCTCACCCAATTCTGCAATGGATGATATTTATTCAATACAGTGCAAACATGAGAAATGCCACGGCTCTGATCCTCACTGATACCAGGGTACACATGTTCTTTAATGCTGAAAATCTCTAATCCCTTTGGAGATCTGGCAGAAAGGATTTGGCTACACCAACCACAAAACCAGTCACAGGGTTATTTGTTACCAGTCTTTTCTTTCACAAAATACACAGAGGAACAGACCAAACCCACTACTTGCTGAAAACTCTGTCAAAGAAAGCTTTAAGAGGGACAGTGGTAGCAAGGACTAAATGGACTTCCAGTTTTCATGCTGAAGAGCAGCTTTGCAATCTTATGATGCACTGGACAGACACATGGATTCAAACACCAGCAAAGTGCACAGTTTCTGTCTTGCAAAGTGGACTGAAACAGGAATCATGGTTACAGTGTGTGATTTGGAAAGCTGGTTACAAAACCAAAACCTGCACCAAACCAAGTCACATCTGATATTTTGAAAAAGCTTGCTCACTAGCCTGACTTTGCCTTCCTGTTGAAAACATACTTTAAATATTCCACAGCTAGTAAGTTCCCACCATGACCACTTTCAAATCTGTCTTAAGGACAGACTTCCTAATTGTTTTCATCAATAACACCCACACAGTCACTCTTTCCACTACCATAATTACACTGGCATGTCACTTAAAAGCCACAAAATCACATTAAATTTCCACAGGCAAGAACAGCACAACACCCAAATGCTTTAGCAAATCCATCCAGGTGCTACAGCTTCTGAGGCCCCTCAGCACACCGTGCAGTGTGGCCATAAAGGGGATGCTCTGCTCTCCTCCATCCCTGCCTTCAGAGAATTTGTGCCCAGGGAGACGTGGAAGTGTTGCTGCTGAGTAAGACATGACACAGATTCACTAGAAGGTTGGTTTGCACAGCAGCAGTTTTAATATGAAAAGTTCTCTTTTTCTATAGATAGTTTTTACACATTCTACTTGATTGGTTAATTAACAAAAACATCTTTCTCACAAACAGTTTTTGAGAAGAACAGAAAAACAGAGTAGGAAACACCACTTGCAGGCTGTTTACACTAACAGGTTATTATTGTTTCTCTATAACTCTCTAAAAAGTTTCACAAGTCCACTGTGAGAAAACAAATCTCATTTTCTCACTCTCTGACCAGGCTGTCACATCCCCATGGAAGTGTTCATGGTTCCATGTGGATGTGTCTGCATTTTTGGACATGGGATTGTTAATTTGCAGAAGAGATGCTTAGGCAGTGACAGTGTGTTAGTGCTCCTGATATTTGCCAGCAAGGGTTGGGTGTTCTTCTCCTTGTGCTGCTTGTCTCATCTGTCTCTGGGCAGTTTATGCACTGTTGAATTCGGGTTCAGAGTAAAATTACTGCTCTTGAGAGCCAGCTACTCATGTGCATCAGATTTTAACACTGCTCAGTGCTTGACTTTGCATTTGTTCACTTCTGTGTCAGCCCGTCAGTGCCAGCGTGGCACCAGCAAGAGCCTGAATGGAAATCTAAGGGAAGTTCTTGGGAAATCAGGCCCTTTATTGCTGAGGTTTAACCTCTTAGTTCACTCTTATCTGTTATGTGATCATTGTCTCCAGAACAGAAGATACTAAAATACTGGAGCAATCCATGAGAAAATTACTACAGTGATTTCACATATAAATTGTGAGTCATGAAGTGCACAAAACCTTTCAGGAGTGAAAGCTTTGGATGATTAATTTTCTTTATCAATAAACTTTCTCAGGGCTGAGTGAAACAGGTATAAAACATCTGCACTTTTAAAACAATGTGAGGCAAGCAGGGCATGTTATCCAGGAAAACTGATTTCCTAAGTAATTACTTCCCTGCTTATTGAGGTTTCAAGCCCAGCAAAAGGTCAGTGATGATGGACTGTGCTGTCCTGCAGTAAATAAGGTTAATATTACTGTATAGTGCTGTTTTGCAGTCACAAGGCATGAGAATGAACCTGAGTACAATTTGCAACACTTGGTCAAATACAGATTAAAATATTACTCTTCACGAGGGAAGGATCCTGTGAGGTGCTCACATCCCTCTGACCACTTAGAAATGTGATCAGTATGTCAGTGTCTTTTCACTTCCAAAAGATTACTGGCATTTATTTTTTTTTTTTTATGTGGGTGTGTTGGAAATGCTTGGATAAACTTTGCAGGGTCTGTCAACTCAAGATTTGCACTGGAAGGGAAGTACATCAGCTTCTCTGCCACAGCCCACACTGAGACCATGCAGTAGAGTTTTAGCTTACTTTAAAAAGAAGCCAATATAAATGAAAATGAAGATGCTTTTAAGCTGGTAATTTGTGTCCTTCTTAAGAAGTCTTAAAAATAAGAGCATCCTAAAGTGCATACTTAGGCTTCACATTTTTTAGTATTTATTTCTAGAGTTGGTAACAGCAGTACCCTTATCCCAGCACAATATGTCCCAGAGGAGCTGTTAGACAAGCATCTGCACTGGAGATGAAAGGCTAGGAGATGTGAATTTTCAAATGAAGGGGAGAGAAAGCCCTTTTCACACCAGTTCCAGTTTTCCCTCTGTAACAATTCACACAAACACCTTCACAATTCCTGTAATGGCCTTTCCTCAGAAAATTCCATTTCTGTAATATACAATGTTCTCTTGTAGGGAAAAGTAAATGGATACACTGACTACATGGTCTGCTGTGGGTTAATTTTAAAATTCAGCCAATAGGAAAACTCTGAATATGTGCAAAGTTCTCAAAAAAAAAAAAAAAAAA